GTCCCTACGTGTATCACACGCACAAACCACATCATGTCAAGATTGTCCGGATTATGGCGAATTTAACTGAATTACCAGTGGGAGAAGTGATGCTTTTTTTACCATTAATGGTCATTTAAGCTACTGGAGGTTTAAACATGCTTTTGATGGATGTTAAGATTTGCTCACGGATGCATGGGCACATTCTTATAATGCTTTGACCAGTAAAGCCTGGTAAAATATACAAATAGTAAAATGTGTGTGTGTTTTGAATTTTATATTACCGTATCTCGATAGAAATTGTGCTGAATCATGCAATACTGTCTAAAAGCTGTGCTGCATCAATCAACAATTTCTTCTCAACTCTCTAAAAACTTGTGTGGCATATCATTCAATAATCTCTAAACTTTTTCAACCCTCTAAAAGCTGTGCTGAATCATCTCTAAAAGCTGTGCTGAATCTCTAAAAGCTGTGCTGAATCTCTAAAAGCTGTGCTGAATCTTTAAAAGTTGTGCTGAATCGTTAGTAGACTGCTACTGACTTTTCTACAAACCGTCTAAATGTTCTGTTGAATCATAAAATAGTTTTAACCCTTTCACTACTGTAGACCATAATGGAATCATCCGTATAAATGCATGGTAGAGTCTACTAAAGTTACATAGGGGTGAAAGAGTTGACTGTTGCCTTGTATCATACATCACTAATAAAAAATGTGCTGAATCAGTCAAAATATCACCTCAATCAGTATACATTGGTTTTGGCTCCTTTAAAAATCTTTCAAAAATAAATTTGACTTGGTGTGCTAATATAAAATGTAAATTGATGTTGGTAGACTAGATTAGGGGATCACTGTTTTGACTATCATTTAAATGTGATTTAAAGTGTTTATATTGCTATTTGTTCATAGGATTTATTCAAAATGACAAAATTTCGTCTTGATGGTCTTAAATAAATTAAGCGATAATACATGTTACCTGTAATAGACATTAAATCTGACAAAAAAATAAAAATAAATCCTAAACACCAGATTATTGTCAGATTCTGAAGAATGAAATTTTTCAATTATTCATTGATTGATCTAAAAAACATGTATTGAAGTGTTGTATAAAAGATAAATGATCTAATAAAACCGTTAATTAAAATATCTTTACCTATATCTTTACCTATATCTTTACTATATCTTTACCTACACCTGTATGGACTTGTAATTGCTTCTCTCCTTTTATGAAATTATCAAATGAAATTTTCAAAATTATTATTTTCGAAGTACATGTATATGTATGTGCAAAAATGTGAGTATTTTTGTATAGATTTTCCAAGGCCGATTCTTTTGAACTTGTGTTTTAAAACTGATAAAAAGATGCTCTTTTTAAACAACGTTGGCAACTTCCCAACGATTCCTTGATGACTAATATTTCTTTTCTTTTCTTTTGCATACATATATGTTACACCAAATCTGACATTGACAATCAATTAACTGTTACCAGGGGCTGGGAATACAATACAATACCTATACGATTATCTTAAGACCCCGTTTACGGGTCTGACACAAGTTGCTCTGAAACCGGCACCCAGTAATAAACCAGCGCACCGAAGATCAAACATTGTAAAATGCTTCAGACCTCACAGGGCTGGAAATTGTGAAAATAGCAGTGATCCGTAATATATATCACTAACATAATGAAGCCTGAAAACAATGAAGTCAAGAAATATTTTGGTAAACAAATAAATCTCTGACACTAAGCCATGATTTCAAGAATTTTAAGGTCAGTTTTAAGAAAACCTGGACTTGGCCCTTCTTCAAATACAGGCCACAGGCCCAGAGCAAGCATTCCTCTGACACTGATCGTTTATTTTGTCCCCTGTAGGACCAGGAATTTATGAAAAGTAAGCAGCGGACATAATATGGCCGATGAATTTTTGGCATTACTTAATGTGTTAAGAGTCAGTTCGATGATGCGTGTGGAAGCTTTTGATCAAACCACATAACGAGCCGTCAATATACTTACGGAAAAACAAATATTGTCATAACTAGTTTTACATGATAATATCCTGAATAAATGGGGACAAGGATTTTGAAGTGTTGAAAGTGGAAAATTTATCATGTAAATGTAAAAATATTAAGTCCCCAACCGTGTTTATATTTCGTACTATTTCTCTGAAGATTAACGACAAAGGTGATCAGCGTTGTGTTATTGTAGTGTAGAAGTGAGCGTGTTACCACATTATATAAATATTGGCTGACCAGATGCAGTGACCATGAAATGACCAAGTATACAGTGCGGTGACACCAATTTTATGTGTGTTAAGGTCATATCTACGATAATCATATCTACCTGTGAGATTTTGTTGCAGGTATCTCCCTCGATATTTCAATTTAGAATCACCTGTAGGTGTTGTATCAATGCAATCAGGGTGTTTTTTGTGTATACCTTTCATTTTCTACATGTATGTGTGTTAAGGTCATGTGAACTTGTTGGGAGTTGTCACCCTTTTTTTAGAATCACCTGCCTGGGTTTTATCTATGCAATTATTTTTTGTTGATCTTTAATTTGACTCATTCATTAATTTATTAAATTAACCAAATTAGCTGTCATGAAGCTAACAGCTGAGTCAAACAATTGTCACCTGTCACGGTATCTGTGTCACCTGATTACCTAACTAAGATGTAACTTATGGTTGTGTATGCATGTGTTGATTACACATCTAGACACACATGCTAATGAAGGGAAGACCTGGAACCCTTTTATTTGAAAGTCAGACCCCTTTCTTTTTTAGATACAAAGAAACTGTTTAGCTTACTTTCTATCGTCATAGAATTTACACAAAAACACAAGAAACTGTTTAGAGATGAAATGATAAAAATATGTGTTTTGAACTGAGAAGAAATTTATTTGTTCCATTAGTCAGAATCATTAATTGAATAAGATTAATTGATAAGTGTTTATATCCAGAAACAGAAAAAATCGGACAGAAGTGGCACAACAAACACATAAACATAATGTATTAAAACTGATTGGAGTTGGTGGGGGATGAATTACCTACTCCCTATCTCTAAATTAACTCATTCAACCCTGAAGACACATTTGAACTCTTCCAATTCAAAGGTTGGAATAGTTCATCACGAAATTTCAGGGGTGGATGATCGAGTTAAAGAACCCTTTTGTCTCCTAACATTAGTTCTAATTCTAGATTCTTCCCCCGATGACTCTGAAAGTTAGTGTCACTGTCACCTTGTAGTTAGGTGAGTGGAAGGTAATATTTCATAACTCAAGTAGTTCTACACGGAGTATGAAATGTTTACTATAGGAGCACCTTTCCGAGGTGTTAACTGGCAGTTTGGAGAGGCTTTAAGTACCTTTTAGGCACAATGGGCTGAGAGGGTGTTACAGGTCAGACTTATGTCATGTGTTGTGTCAACATGATGTAAAACTAAAAACACTTACAGTGACTTTTTGTCCCCCACGGGTTGGTGTTCCGTGTGTGAACACCTAGTTTTCAAAAGGAAATTCATGTGTCCAGATGGCATATATACCAAGGTAAACTGGCATGGCCCGACATGTTCATGGGCTGTTAACATATCGGCACATGCTGAAGACGGGTAGAAAATAGACAAAGTCATATGTGCAAGATTATCCCCGAGTTTTTAATTGGTTACATATATTGGTTACATTTTTCTGGATTAAGATTATGGGATTTGTTTGCTTCTATTTGTTTTGTTTTATTTATGAGAGCAGATTTATAACTGGGATAATTATGGTCTCGTACTTGGTGTTTATGGTTTAGAAGACCCTGCCTACACATGGGTAGCACTTTAGAGTGCTTCAATGTCACGATCAACACACAGCAAGGTGTTTCTATCTACAAACAGGCCAATATTTAGTCTGTATGCTGTTATGATACAGAATTCTACAGTGACAATCTCTCATGATGGTGCAGTGCAGTTGGATTAGCATTTTGGACATGTAATGTGATTCTGATGCAAATGATTGTTTCCTTGCTACTTGGATATACAGCCAAATTTCTTTATGTGCAAGGGAGATAAATGGTCATGATACTCAGATGGTCTTTATAGACAGGTGGTCTACATTGACAGGTTGTTATTATATAGAAAACACCATTTGGTATATTCTGAGAATCAGAGTTTGTAGACAGGTGGTCTTTAACTCATTCACCCCTACATATTTCAACTGGACTTGCCCAGTGTTTGATTTGGTAAGGTTCAAATGTGATTTTAGGGTTGGATGGGTTAAGGCAGATTTTACCGTATGACACCAGACTGTCGCATATCAACCTCCATTATAGAAGAGTCCTACACACAGAATCCTATAAAAATATCTTATGTTTTTGAATGGTAATCTCGACTTATATGATATATCTATGACAAATGAAAGTTACATAGGTTATATACTGAAGTTACAGGTCCCCCACCAGTAACACAGTACTGTAGGGACTTGAGGTTTGTGTCGGCCAGTCCATGAGCCAATTTGTCGGGACATATTTCATATACTCTAGCTGTCACCTACGATTGCCAACATTTTGTATGCTTTTTGGCGTTGCAAAGTGTTGTTGTGTACTAAAATTTAGACTTTGCTTTACTATAGACAGAGTTATGGCCCTTCCTTCACCGTACATCACATTGTCTTGGGCATATATCTCCTGTACTCCGTCACCTACTATTGTCAAAATCTGTATGTGAGTAGCTCTTTGGATGGGGGAATAAAGTGTCCTGAAATCAAGTCTTGTACCCCACTAGCTAAAAACTTACTGTTCATTTTTTTTAAACCAATGTTTGTTTGTCGATAGGAGATTATTGATTGCTCAGAATTCTAGCTTTGCCTTGCATGGAATTTGAACCTGATGTACATTGAAATATTTCAAGGGACATGACTCTTACACAAAACATTTATATAACAAAACACAAGTGGCATACTGCTTTTGAATTCCTGTTCAAAATAAATCATTTTCGTTAGCTAATTTTTGAATTTGTATTTTAAGAATATATTTTCATCTATTTGCAGGTTAGCTGTAGGAGGTCACACAGAACTGACCGGATGGTTTAGGACCAGGATGTGGTATTGGACACTGCCCTCGGATTATATGTGTGTGTAAGACATGTGCCCGTTCTTGGTGAACACCGCTGTCCAGTATGTGTGAGGTGGGGCAGTTTGGCCCGACCCTGTCCAGTCTATTGGTACTGGTCATCTTATGTACCTCCTGGTCTGATTCCAGCCATCACCATGTCCAGTCCTTCCCTAGGGAATTCGACTTTAGATACACCTCCTATGAAGGTACAGTTAAACAATTTCATTTTCTGTCTTTCTTATTCTTTTCTTTCTTCTCTCTAAGATTCCTTTGTTTGTCTTCTATTTTTTCCCCATTGAAACTTCTTAATTTTTTTCTTATTTTCAGAGCAGTAAAATTTGTCTGTGAGGTCCAAATACTGTTGTTTATCTTAAGTGATTATTTGACAAGGAATCTGGTCTGAGACTGTTACAGTACTCTAAGAAAATATATAAGTACAGGAAATTGAAGTGAGTCGCTTGTTTTTAAAGACCAGCCCAGAAAGAGATAGAGAGGACAGAAGAGAGTAGAACTGGTCCTTATTATCAGATGGTCTTTATAGACAGGTTGTTAGATAGAAAACAAGTTGGAACAATTTTAAGATAGTACGATATAAACAGGTGGTCTTTATAGACAGGTAGTCTTTCTATAGAGGTGGTTTTTAAAAACAGGTAATCTTTCTATAGAGGTTGTCTTTGTAAACAGGTAGTCTTTCTATAGATATTGTCTTAATATACAGGTAGTCTTTCTATAGAGGTTGTCTTTATAGACAGATGGTCTTTCTATAGAGGTGGTCTTTATAGACAGATGGTCTTTCTATAGAGGTGGTCTTTAAAACTGGTAATCTTTCTATAGAGGTTGTCTTTGTAAACATGTAGTCTTTCTATAGATATTGTCTTTATATACAGGTAGTCTTTCTATAGATGTTGTCTTTATAGACAGATGGTCTTTCTATAGAGGTGGCCTTTATAGACAGGTGGTTTGTAATGCAAGTATCACTGTGCAGTGAAATATGTTTATAACAACCCCAGGTAATGCAAGCAGTTTGGTCACTAGAATTAAGATTTGTTGCAGAGTTTGGTATATTCATATGACATTTCGTTACCACTAGTAGACAAAAATATTAAATCAATTTAAGCAAGAATTTGCAATAAGCATGTTGTCATATTGTAGTGAGTTTCACTGTTCCACGTTATGAGAGAAAGGAAAAGCTTAGAGACGGTTGTTAATACGCCAGATGCCCACATGATGCAAATAGATGGAAATTTTGGTTTTAAAGTCGATGTTGAATGCCATGAAGATTTGATGTCTGTGCAGTTTTTATTTCGGAAAATACCACCAGGACAAAAAAATAGCAGTTACACACATAAAGCATAAAAAGCATACCCGAAGGTGTTGAAAATTCTGCAAAAAAATCTTCAACTTTATATATATAGCCCTCCATGTAATGGTTAAAGAAGTTAGGCATAAAAAAGGAAAATATTTGCACAAGATTTAACTAGCATGTTGCGACCATTGACAGCGGTAAAGGTGCAATGTTTATGTGACTGTCAAAAATTGAACACTGCCTGCCATTTCCTTATCGATATATTGCCCCACAGTTTGGCCCTAATAATAGCATGCTTAAAATTTTAATGAGTGCACCAGGGCGATAGTGATGGTTTGTCGGACAGGTGTAGAAGTCTGTACTCCACACACAGCTAATTAGGGGTGTAGGCCGTACAACGCACAGCGAACACACCTTTTTACTGGGTTGATTTAGGGAATGAGGCCGTACAACTCACACATGGAACACCTTTCTAGAGAAACGATCCAGAGAATATAACCAAACGATCAAAAAGAAACACTTTTCTACAGAACTGATTTAGGTAATAAGGCCATACAACATGAAAGAAACGCTTTTCTACAGAATTGATTCAGCGAACAAAAATATACAATGCACAAGGAACGTTATTTTGTTTTTAACTGAACTGATTTAAGGGTTACTTAGGCCGTAGAACTGATTTAAGATTTGTAGCTAGTCCACCAGTCTTGTGCAATAAATCATCTTCCCATCTTGCACTTAATCTGTGAAAACATCTCAAAAAGTTCACGTTGGCCAACATACCATAACTCGCTGGCTCCTTCTCCGATAGTAGCTACACAGATAGCAACTATACATGATTCTCAGGTGGTTGGCAGACAGGTGTTCAAAAGTTCAAAACGGCTATGTGCACCTTTATACAGACTAGTTAAAAATTGTAAATAACATGTTGGGCCGCCTGTCTGCGTAGCCGATTTTACAGATGTCAGCTGGCTAAGACACACCAAGCAATAAAACGGATGTCCAGAAACGTTGTATTATTTCTGACAACTGGTAAAGATTTGTTGGGTTAGTGTGTGGTTTCCAATTTGATGTAATTTCATGTCTATGTGTACATCGAAAGGTATCCATTTTGACAAAGCACCATGTCTTTCAATATATCGAAAGTCTCGATGGGTAGATATTTTGTTGCGATAACTGAGCTTTCTATTTTTGCGTCTTGCATCAAAGTTTAATATATTTTGTTATCAGGAACATAAATGATGACTAAACGGAGAAAGATTAATGTTAATTACGTAGATTAAATCTAGCTCGTCAAACACTATATCCTCGGTATAGTGCTCCAAGTAATTTCAAGGTACGCTGAACTGTTTATTAATTGTTTATTTATCCCTCCAGTAAACACCTGAACGTGTTTTAAAAAGGAACAGAAATTAAATATTCAATTCTTTATTGCAGATAACAAATTTTTTGGGAAAACTTTGAAAAATGTACTTCTGTTCAACAATGACGTGTTCTTTTAAATTCACACACGTGCTGGAATATAGACAGGCAAAGAAAGGTTCTGATTAAAAATAATAAAAATGATAACAGCTTGGACCAAAATACCAAGTAGGTATGGTTAATTTTTATGTAGGTTTGAAATATATCTTTTCATAAAACTTATTGCTCTTCATAAATGTTAATAGTATATATAGCATTACTAATTCAGAATGGTTTGATATACATCATGAAGATGTATTGTGTATATCCCCACCATAACGATGGTCAGGCACTCTGAATATATTTGCTGTTTCTTTCAATGTGTATTATGATATGTGCATTTAAATAGTTTTAAACTAAATTATCTCTCAAAATGATCAATAGAGTGCCATTAAACTTGTAACAGTTGATTTCTAGTCATAAGGAATAATTGCAAAGAATGTATAATAGAACACAAGTCAAAGGTCAGAGGTCAAGGTCAGCTGTTGGTTAATGTATTTGTAATAACATCCCGACAATTACCCTAATTCTTTAACTATTTAACCCTTTCACCACTGAAGACCATCATGGACTCATCCAGATGAATGTATGGTAGAGTCTACTCAAGGCACCTAGGGGTGAATGGGTTGATTCATGAAAATTTTAACTGACCCCAATATGTACTACACTGTTGATATCGGTGATCAGTATTGTGACCATGAAATGAATGTCACAGTTTGACTTTCGTCTTTAAACCCCTCCCCATAATTAATGTGGGCAAATTTATCATACTGGCGAATATTGGTACATGTATGCAGTTTACTGTTTCCAATGTGAAGGTCAAAATTAGGCATTTATTTCATGAAGAAAACATTTTCAAGGGAACGGTGTATGAATAAGTTGCGATAATTAAGTTATGTAGATTCACTTCGATGAACATTGGAAAAAAATATTTCTTTTTCCTGAGACATCAAAATGGAAGGGCTTAGTTTTTTCGAGTTGAATACTAAGAAAAGGTAATGTAGATTGTGCTCTAAAACTTTGGATTTATATATTTTAAACAGTTTTCATATTAATAGTTGCATTATGAATATTTCCGCAGTGCCAACCAACAACCGTGAAAAGTTGGATCAAGGAAAAAAAGAGTAATTGCAAAAAAACTCAAACTGAAGTATAAATGTTTCATGTTTTATGATATCGTCAGGACTTGACAAGAAAATCTACTACCTGAGATAATTTGTGTGATAAAAACTCGGTACTGACCCGGATGTACATGGGTCATCGTTAACATGTGGTCGTAATACATCTGTCACCGTCATCATCATCTTCCCATCAGGATTTCGGGGCTCTAATCAGGCTGTTTATCTGTCAGCCTAATGGGACACACGGTCTGTTATAAAACAAGTGTTTTGACAGAGAAGCATGCCTAATCATTGTCATCGGAAGACTTGGCGGCAGCCATGTGTCGCAAACACTCACCAGACTACAAATCAAATGACCTTGTGATTAGGCTAGTTTGACCTTGGGGTCATTATGAAAACGAAGATGTCTCTATTGTGTGATGGGTGCTGACACCAACATTGTGGTCAGTCTGGTCAATTGGTGGTCAAGGGGGTTGAGTGAAGAGAGGTACACTGCCAATAACAACAAAACCTGATCTTGCCGAACCTTTAGTGGGCCATATGGTCAATAGGCTCATCACCTCAATTTAAAACTGACCAGAAATAATATCACACATTGTCAATGACAGAAACTACTTTCCAAACTAAAATTCCTTGTTCCTAGGGTTTTGATATAATCATCTAAGCTAGCCAAAGAAGAAACAAAAATAATTTCAGGAAATATCTATTTTTTTAAATCTAAAAAAGTTTCAGATTTTTTTATTAAGGTGACTAAGCTTTGGACAGTTAGTCACAGTTTGTTCAATCAAATGATTTAAAACATCCCCCACCCTCTAAAACATTTTTTTTTACAAATGTTTGGAAATTTAATCTTGAACTTTTGAAGTTGTTCACCTTTCATGCTGGTGGCTAATCATTGTGAATCCCCTGTGTTGTGAATTGCTGGAGGTTTTGTAATCGTGACATGGCTATAACAAGACCGTTACTTGAGAAACGAACTTGAGGGTTAATTTAGTCATTCCTCAGAAGGCCACAGGTTGCACTAATATCGCCCGTATTTCTAAATTAAATTCAATCAAAATGTCTATCTACTCAGAATATTTTACATTAGAACAAATCTCCCAGAAGTAACCTTTTAATTAAGGTCAAACCACCTGTGTTTGTTTTCACACCTGTGATACAGGTAGAGGACCAGACACATACTTTGTACCACACGAGGTATCTATACCTCAGGATCTCCTTATGTGTGGTCTTACAGTGTCAAGTCACATGTGTCTGGCCCAAGGTTCATGTTTCCTTATAGACACATGTGTCTGGCCCAAGGTACATGTTTCCTCATAGA